ATAAATTGCATATATCAGAACTAACAAACTTTTACTAGTACTGATTTGTGTTTAAAAACTTCAGCCTTTTATAATATATATTCACTGTAAAAATAAAATAAATCTACCTTTGCACTTTGTGATTACTATTACTACATAAAAAAAAAATGCTAATTAAACATTTATATAAAAAAATTAACAGACAAATAATCTATACTTTCATGCTTCAAGCTCATTAATAAAGAAGGAACAGCCGCAATGTCCTGGCAATTATGACCACGAATAACATTGAAACTACAAGGGCAAGCAAATTTTCTATTTTTGTGAGTAACACATAATAACTTTTCATGCTGTTTAATAAAATAGTTATCATTTGTTTCAGAGGTTTTTATTTCTCAGCTCTTAGATAATCTTGAGCTTTCTTTACTAATATCATTATTATCTAGTTCAGCAGCAGCATGTTGGATATCATTATCATCTAGTTCATCATCGTCTAGTTCAGCAGCAGCATGCTGGACATCATCATTATCTAGTTTAGCAGCAGCATGCTAGACATCATTATCGTCTAGTTCAGTAGCAGCAGCATGCTAAACACCTTCATTTATATCGAACCAAAACACATTTCAGGAATTTTGATCAATTTCTAAATTAAAGAGATTAAATAAAATCATTGTACCAGTAAATATAAAAGAATTTATATAATATAATATATGCCTACTTTGAATATGATTTTTTTTGTATAATGATTCGCCCTGTTTTATGATTTTTTCCTTTTCTTATTGCAATTTCGATTTTGTGGGAGGTTTACTTTCTCCTTTCAAGAACCTATGTGGAAAAGATTATTTGATATTTTATAAAAAAAAGATGTATTTTAACTAACCTTTCTATCTCTTCAGTATTAACACATATCAATGTTCTGATTTGTTCAAAATTAGCATATAAAGATTTAGTGTATCTTTTTTGATAATAAATTAATATATCTTTCTTAAAGTAACTTTCTAATAGCATGTTTGTTTTCATAGAACAATTATCACGCTTATAATCCGGCCAGGTATCTATTACAAAATGTGAAAGAAATCAGTTACTCTTTGTGAATTTTTAATACAGAAAAATTTAAACACAGAACTAATCTATATAAAATTTCTTGACATATTATTAAATTACTAATAAAACACTTGACACAATAAATTCTTGAGTTTACATTATAAAATTACTAATAAAATACATAAAAGACCAATTATAAAGTAAACTATATTTACTGACCAACCCAATCACCAAACCAATGTATTTGAAAATAAGATGTAATAACCCTCGCAGTATTTGACTTCATTATCCCAATAGCATCCTGAAGTTTCTTCTAATCTAAAATGGTAACTTTTCTTTTATCAAATTCTTTCTGATCTTGGGATCATTTGACGAATCTGAATTGGTAGAATATTCAATCTTTAAGCCATTGATCATTCAGATTTTTCGTAAACCATTCTTTAAGAGCATTGGCTAAAAGAGTGTAAAATATAAATATTATAAGAATGCAGTATTAAAAAAAAAAAAAAAAAATCAAAAACTCACCTTCATGCCAGTCATATAAAATTGCTTGCGTATTTGGAAAGCATTTTTTAGCCGCTACAAGATATGAGTCTTATTTGTCTAGAGTCAACTACTTAGAGTTTAGTTGAATGTCATTTATAGTACTATACTGAATTAACTAAGAATAGCTAGAGTTTAATATTACCTAGTAGAATCCAGAAAAATAACCAAAAACACTTACTGATTCGAACATATGGCCAATGACTGGTATCGTTTCTCTGTCACTTATGAATGTAGCTATAATTTGACTATGGGGTTTATCCGATCTGACTATAAAGGCCGTATTCAGAAAGTTTAAACAGTTATGGCTCCCAGTAGAATCTATTGCAAAAAGATCTAAATACTTGGTCAATAACATTGGCATAATTGTAGATACAATACCAAGAAGCACAGCTTGTTCCTTAGAATCTTGCATGTTCTTAATGCCATATTGTTTTGATATTGCAACACTTTCAGCTTCATAAATATTCATTAAAGAACTAACCTGTTAACCCAAACAAAAATAAATAAATAAATAAATATTAAATAAATAACTAAATAAAAACCCTCAAATTATCACCTTCTCAAACTCTAAAGCACTTGAATAGTTTAATTTTTTTCATACTTGAGAGTATTTTGAATTGCCTCAATATTAGGTATGAATCGTATAGAAATTGGTTGAACTTGATTTGCAGATGTACTAGCAGTTTAATTAGAAATCTTTGCATTGTTTATAAATTCTAAAAATATGCAAAATAAATAATATAATAGTTGTTTTTTTTTCAAATTTAAAATAGTTTTTAAATTTACCTGTTGCCAACATTGATGGTGTTGCATTTGTAGATCTACTTGCGATTTCTTTTCTGATTACTTTTGCCATTCGATATAGCTTTTTTCTAACATGTTCAGGATTATGATTTCTATAATATTCAATATCACATAGATTAAGTGGTTTGTTCTTAAAAACTGCGATGCGGTTCTTCCAATTATATTTGCCCTTGTGGCAACCATTCTATAACAGTATTATTAGCATTTTATGAGTTAGTTTAATAGATGATTCACCAGTCATCTGGAGAGCTATGTGATGTAGGTTATACAAGATTTATATATAAATTATATATAAAATCTTCAAA